ATGAGAGGGGAGGGGAAAGGAGGGGAGGGGAGGGGAGGGAAGGGGAGGCGAGAGGAGAGGAGAAGGAGGTCCAGGGCAGAGCCTTGGTGAAGGCCCATTTCCAGGAAACCAGGTAAGGAGCATGTGGCAGAGACAGAAGGACAGTTGTCAGAGCAAAGGCAGGAGACCAAGCATATGGCCCAAAGGCAGCACATAGGCACTCACTAAATATGCGTGACTGATAAATTAATAAAGGAAAGAACACATTAAAGGCCCCCATGCTTTTATATATGCTACGTCCTCTGCTCAACATGTCTTTCACCGCAGTTAGAAGTTTCCCCTGGTCCTCCAAATCTGGGTGAGGTACCAGTTCTATGTGTGCCCATAACACCTGTGCTTTACAGTATATATATCTACCACAGGGGGATGCTCTTCCCCATCTACATGTCAGTCCCTCTAGATTGTGAGCAGCGTGAGGGCCGGGACTGTGTTTCTTTTTTATTCCATATCTTCCTTTCCAGTTATATGTTGGTGCTCAATACAGGTTTATTGGATGGATGGATGGATGGATGGATGGATGGATGGATGGATGGATGGACAGGTAGGTGAATAGATGGATGGATAAACAGGTAGGTGGATAGAACAATGTGAAACTCTTACCTTGGGACCAATTGCTTCAAATAGTTATACAGAGATTGAATATACCAGCTCCCTTCTGTCTTGTGACGAAAAGATACATAGCCAGGGACAGTGGCCAGGCCAAGAAGGAAATCTGCTTCCACAGGAACACTGTCCCGAAGGGGAGGCTGTACTAACTCGGGATTTACAGCATCTGCTTCAATGGACACAGAAGATTGTATCTCTTCTCCTTGACAGGCCTGGATGAAAAAGAGTTTGGGCTTGTTAGCCAGACCAGGGCACTGCTGGGCCGTGAAGTGAGACATGATCTCCCGGATGGGAATGAGGGCCTCGTCTGAAGAGTAGACAGCTCCAAATTGCCCGTGGGTCAGAATACAGAACACAAAGCAGTCTCCGTCAGCATGGTCTGGATGACTCTTATATCTTTGCAGAACTTCATCCAGGCATTTTTTAGTTACATCAACCCACATATCTACGTTGAATCCAAGCCACTGAAAGACATGCTTCAGGCACTCTGTTAAAAAAAAAAAAAAGTGGAGGGATGAATGATGAAATAAAACAGAGCGAAATGAAATAAAAGGGGTCAAACAATGCTAATAGTTATACAAATTGCACAGCAAATATCCTGAAACTTTGGATTATGTTTTACTCTCATAACAATAAAACTATAATTAACCTGCCTTTTTATAGCACCCACAGTGCTATCACAATGGGCCTGCGAGTGAGCAGAGGCCAGAGTCCATTCTCCTTCACAGGTGAGGGAGCTGATGGTCTGTGACTCTCCCGTGGTCACAAATCCCAGGTAGTGGTGGAGCCAGAGCTCAAACACAGGTTTTCGGCTTGTGTAGCCTGCCCCCATCCAAGGAACAGCAGCCTCCTGATCACCACACCCTCTGTCTGAGGAACAGCAGCTATGTGTGAAGCCTCCCCCCACCAGCCAGAGGAGCCACCACAGCGGTGAACAGCACCCACCACAGGAGCTGCTGCCAACTGAGGAGCAGCTGCTACCACAACCGCCCGAGGAGCAACCACAGCCCAAGGAACCACTGCCACCCAGGGAGCAGCCACTGAAGAACTCAACATCTAGATATGTTGAGCTGCCATAAAAAACTCCATTGAAAGTATCAACAGTAGACTAGGAGAAGCGGAGGACCGAATTAGTGAATTAGAAGACAAGGAAGCAAAACACACCCAAACTATACTGCAAATGGAGAAAAAAATTAAAAGACAGGAGGAGAGCCTAAGGGAGCTTTGGGACAACATGAAACGAAACAACATACGAATAATAGGGGTGCCAGAACAACAGAAAGATGAACATGGATTAGAAAACCTATTCGAAGAAATAATATCAGAAAACTTCCCTGAGGTGGGGAAGAAAAAAGTCACACAAGCCCAGAGAGTCCCAAACAAGGTGAATCCGAAAAGACCCACACCAAGACACATCATAATTACCATGGCAAATGTTCAGGACAAAGAGAGAATCTTACAGGCTGCAAGAGAGAGACGGAAAGTTACATACAAGGGATCTCCCATTAGATTATCAAATGATTTCTCAACAGAAACACATCAGGCCAGAAAAGAATGGACAGAAATCTACAAAGTGATGCAAAGCAAAGGACTGAATCCAAGAATACTCTATCCAGCAAGGCTATCATTCAAAATTGAAGGGGAAATAAGAAGCTTCACAGACAAAAAAAGGCTAAGGGAGTTTATCACCACCAAGCCAGCCATGCAAGAAATGCTAAAGGGACTGGTGTAAAAAGAAGAAATAACAAGCTCAGAAAGAAAACAGCCACACACACAAAAAAAGAAATGGCTACAAACAAGTACCTTTCAATAATAACTTTAAATGTAAACGGACTAAATGCTCCAACCAAAAGACATCGAGTGGCTGAATGGATAAAAAAACATGACCCATACATCTGCTGTCTACAAGAGACCCACCTCATTAGAAGGGACTCACACAGACTGAAAGTGAAGGGATGGAAAAATATCTTTCACGCAAATGGAAAGGAAAAGAAAGCTGGGGTAGCAATACTTATATCGGACAAAATACATCTCAAAGTGAAGGCCATAACCAGAGATAAGGAAGGCCACTTCATAATACTAAAGGGATCAATACAACAAGAAGATATAACCCTGGTAAACATATATGCACCCAATGCAGGAGCACCCAAATTCATAAAAAAACTCCTGGAAGATATCAAAGGAGAGATCGACAACAATACAATCATAGTAGGGGACTTTAATACACCACTGACACCACTGGATAAGCCCGCTAGACAAACAATCAGCAAAGAAACAGCAATCCTAAATGACTCACTAGATCAGATGGACTTAATTGACATCTTCAGAACACTTCACCCCAAAGCCATGGAATATACATTCCTCTCAGGTGCTCATGGGACATATTCAAAAATAGACCACATATTGGGTCACAAGCAAAGTCTCCACAAATTCAAGAAGATTGAAATCATAAAAAGCTTCTTCTCAGACCACGATGGCATAATGTTAGAAATAAACTACAATAAAAACAACCCAAAATACTCAAACACTTGGAAGCTGAATAGCATGTTATTAAATATTGATTGGGTTACCAATGAGATCAAAGAAGAAATTAAAAACATCCTGGACACTAATGACAATGAAAACACAACAATCCAAAACCTATGGGACACAATGAAAGCAGTCCTGAGAGGGAAGTTTATAGCTCTACAGGCCTACCTCAAAAAACAAGAAAAAATGGTAGTAAATCATCTAACTCTTCAACTCAAAGAATTAGAAAGAGAGCAACAAGAAAACCCCAGAGTGAGCAGAAGGAAGGAGATAATAAAGATTAGAGCAGAAATAAATGACATAGAGACCAAAAAAACAATACAGAAAATCAATGAAACCAAGAGCTGGTTCTTTGAAAGGATAAACAAGATTGACAAACCTCTAGCCAGGCTCACCAAGAAGCAAAGAGAGAGGACCCAAATAAACCAAATCAGAAACGATAGAGGCGAAATAACAACAGACCCCACAGAAATACAAATGATTGTTAAACAATACTATGGACAGCTCTACTCCAACAAACTAGACAACCTGGAGGAAATGGACAAATTCCTAGGAAAGTACAACATTCCAAAACTCAATCAGGAAGAATCTAAAAATCTCAATAGGCCAATAACTATGGAAGAAATTGAAGCAGTCATCAAAAAGCTCCCAGCAAACAAAAGCCCAGGACCAGATGGCTTCTCAGGGGAGTTTTACCAAACTTTCAAGGAAGAACTAAAACCTATCCTCCTCAGACTACTACAAAAAATTCAGGAGGAAGGAACACTTCCAAGCTCATTCTATGAAGCCAGCATCACCCTAATACCAAAACCAGGTAAAGACAACACAATGAAAGAGAATTACAGGCCAATATCCCTCATGAACATAGATGCCAAAATCCTCAACAAAATCTTAGCAAATCGGATCCAACAGTACATCAGAAGGATCATACACCATGACCAAGTAGGATTTATCCCAGGGATGCAAGGATGGTACAACATCCGTAAATCAATAAACGTAATACATCACATAAACAAATTGAAAGAAAAAAACCACATGGTCATATCAATTGATGCAGAAAAAGCATTCGACAAAATCCAACACCCATTTTTGATAAAAACTCTCAGCAAGGTGGGAATAGAAGGATCATACCTCAACATAATAAAAGCCATATATGACAGGCCCACAGCCAACATCATACTCAATGGACAAAAACTAACACCATTTCCCCTAAGAACAGGAACAAGACAGGGATGCCCACTCTCGCCACTCCTCTTTAACATAGTCCTGGAAGTATTAGCCATTGCAATTAGACAAGAAGAAGAAATAAAAGGCATCCAAATTGGAAAAGAGGAAGTAAAACTGTCCTTATTTGCAGACGACATGATATTATACATACAAAACCCTAGAGACTCCATCAAAAAACTACTAGACTTAATACATGAATTTGGCAATGTAGCAGGATACAAAATTAACCCCAAGAAATCTGAGGCATTTCTATACACCAATAGTGAACTTTCAGAAAGAGAGATTATAAAAACAATCCCATTTACCATCGCACCAAAAAAATTAAGCTACCTAGGAATAAACTTAACTAAAGAGGTAAAAGACCTCTACTCAGAAAACTACAGGACGTTGAAAAAAGAGATAGAGGAAGACATAAAGAGATGGAAGAACATACCATGTTCTTGGATTGGTAGAATCAACATCATTAAAATGTCCATACTACCCAAAGCAATCTATAAATTCAACGCACTTCCCATTAAAATACCAATGGCCTACTTCAAAGATCTAGAACGAACTCTCCAAAAATTCATCTGGAATAAAAAAAGACCCCGAATAGCTGCAGCGATCCTGAGAAAGAACAAAGTAGGTGGGATCTCAATGCCAGATATCAAGCTGTATTACAAAGCCACTGTTCTCAAAACTGCCTGGTACTGGCACAAGAACAGACATATAGATCAGTGGAATAGAATAGAGAGTCCAGAAATTAGCCCGAACCAATATGCTCAATTAATATTTGACAAAGGAGGAAAGAACATTCAATGGAGCCAAGATAGTCTCTTCAATAAGTGGTGTTGGGAAAATTGGACAGATATATGCAAGAAAATGAAACTAGACCACCAACTTACACCATACACAAAAATAAACTCAAAATGGATAAAGGACTTAAATGTACGACAGGAAACCATAAAAATTCTAGAAGAATTCAAAGGCAACAAAATCTCAGACATATGCCGAAGCAATTTCTTCACTGATACAGCTCCTAGGGCAGTTGAAACTAAAGAGAAAATGAACAAATGGGACTACATCAAAATAAAAAGCTTCTGCACAGCAAAAGAAACCATCAACAAAACAACAAGAAAACCCACTGCGTGGGAAAACATATTTGCCAACGTCATATCTGATAAGGGCCTAATCTCCAAAATTTATAGGGAACTCATACAACTTAACAAAAGGAAGATAAACAATCCAATCAAAAAATGGGCAAAGGATCTAAATAGACACCTTTCAAAAGAGGACATTCAGAAAGCCAAGAGACATATGAAAACATGCTCAAAGTCACTAATCATCCGAGAGATGCAAATCAAAACAACAATGAGGTACCATCTCACACCTGTCAGAATGGCTATCATCAACAAATCAACAAACGACAAGTGCTGGAGAGGATGTGGAGAAAAAGGAACACTTGTGCACTGCTGGTGGGAATGCAGACTGGTGCAGCCACTATGGAAGACAGTATGGAGTTTCCTCAAAAAACAAAACATGGAACTCCCATTTGACCCTGTGATCCCACTTCTAGGAATATATCCCAAGAAACCAGAAACACCAATCAGAAAGGATCTATGCACCCCTATGTTCATAGCAGCACAATTCACCATAGCTAAGATTTGGAAACAGCCTAAGTGCCCATCAGTAGATGAATGGATTAGAAAACTGTGGTACATCTACACGATGGAATACTATGCTGCTGTAAAAAAGAAGGAATTCTTACCATTTGCAACAGCATGGATGGAACTGGAGAGCATTATGCTAAGTGAAATAAGCCAGTCAATGAAAGAAAAATACCACATGATCTCACTCATTTATGGATAATAAAGACCATTATAAACTTATGAACAAAAATAGATACAGAGGCAGAGCTGCCTCAAACAGACTGTCAAACTACAGAGGGAAGACCGGGAAGGGTTGGGGGGCAGGAGGGAAGGGTAAGAGAACAATTGAAGGACTTGTATACATGCATATAAGCATAACCAATGGACATAAGACACTGGGGGGTAGGGGAGGCCAGGGGATTGTCAAGGGCGGGGGAAAAAGGAGACATATGTAATACTCTTTGTAATACTTTAAGCAATAAAAAAAAATAAAAATAAATTTTAAAAAACCACAGGTTTCTCAAACTGACCCAGCATGCTCGCCCCTACATCACGAATCATATGTGGTCAGGGGCCCTTTTCACTCTGTAAGCAGGTTGCTGACACCCCAGATGCTATGGTCTAAAAATTTGTGTCTCCCCAAAATTCACATGTTGAAATCCTAACCCTCAAGGTATGGGCATTAGAAAGTGGGGCCTTTGAGAGGTGCTTAGGCCATGAGGGTTGAGCCCATAAAGAAACCCCAAGTGAGGTTACAGTGAGAAGATAGCCATGTAGGAAGCAGACTCTCACCAGACACTGAAACCCCATAGCCTTGATCTTAGACGTCCCAGCCTTCAGAACCATGAGAGACACAGGTTGGTTGGTTGTAAGCCACCCAGTCTCGGTTGTTTGATACGGCAGCCTGGATAGACTAAAACACTAGGGGCAGATAGGAGGCTTCGAAACATTTATAATATCATCCTTACATTAAATGGAAGATTAAAAATTACAGAAAGAAAATATGAAAATGAAAAATGATTTTAAGATCCCCAGCTTCCATTCGATATACTATCACAGCCTTTCTTACCAGCGTCTTTATCAGTCCCTTGTCTTTTTGACAGTGAGGTAAAGTTCTGGTTGTTGATAACAACACAGTAGCCTCTATGTTTACGATCCATCCTGTACACAGTTTCCTCCTTGAAAGAAGAAGAGATGGAACCACTTATTAGAGAATCTTCACTTTAAGAGTTTAATGTTTCTAACCAACCACTCCATTTATCGTACCAAAGGCAGAGAATTCTCAAGATCCTGGGCCTGGTCTGGAATTAATCAATGGCCAGGCCCTGACTAAAATTCAGACTTCACCTGGTTTAATTACAAAATGTCAATTCTCAGTGTCAAATAACAGAGTATGTTTTTTAACTTTGGAAAACCCAGGGTTTATGCAAAAGCATCTTCCTTTTTGGATTAGCAAAGTGAAGAAAGCATAGGTAAGGACCTAACAAGACAACAAAAATATCAAATGGTAATTTTTTTCAGATGGTAGGATTCAGAGTGATCTGTTTTCTCCAAAAGCAGAGAAATCTCTTTGGTAGCAATCACAGTGGGGAATTTAAAATGTATGCAATCATTTCCGAAGGCTATCACAAACAGCCTATGATTATAAACTATCTGAGTTGGCTTCAGCGGGGCCTCTGTGTGGCTAAAATGATCTCCTGAAAACATGGTACAGCTTGAATCCAAACAGAAAAGAAGTGGCATCAGTCGATAAAAAAGAAATTCCCTTTCTGGAAATAATTTAAAAAGTTTGCGTGACTGAAAGGGCAATAGCGTCCCCTCCATAGCAAGTGTCAGCACACTTCTGAAGGTTAGAAAGAAAGGTGGGAAGGACAGAGATGATCACAGAAAGAGGAAGAAGAACCAAGACAGACACAAAGAACTCTGAGCCCTCAAAGCCACTAAGGGTGAGACCCCAGTTGGAAACGCCCCCAAAGAAACTGTCCAGACCTTTGTGCTGGTTCCAGAAGTTAGACTGTAAGCAGATGGTCTCAACATCTCCCTAGAGACCAGGGTTACTTGGTCACCGAGAAAGAGAAATACTTATTTTCTTCAAATATATCTCCTCACTTAGATATCCTTACACCAGGTGGGTTGAGAGTCAATACCACATGAATCAGATCAAATGTTTCCGGTAGAAGCTTGTTTGGGTAGAGTCACTGAGCAGATACGAAGGAGAAGAAAGGGGGAGATGGGAAGAGATTAACCAAAGAACTCATGCATATATGCACAACCAATGGACACAGACAATAGTGTGGAGAAGGCCTGCAGTGGGGCAGGGGCTGGGAGGAAGGGGGTAAAGGGTGAGAAATGGGGGACATCTATAATACTGTCAACAATAAAATAAAATAAAAATAAATAAAATCAATTTTAAAAAATTAAAAAAAAAAAAAGGCCCAGAGACTCAATCTGGGAAAGACAAAAATCAGTCCATAGCCCTGGGATTACTTAGTCAGGCTTTTGGCATTGGCTGAGGATTGCAGTGCTTTGAAGGGTTTCTGCAGACTCCATGGTTCCTCTGAATAAGGATCCATCATAAAGAGGAAGCCAAGGATGAGTTGTCACAGGACAGTAACAAGAAAATATCTCTTGAAACTTTTCTTCGTCCACCAGCCAGACTTCAGTAGAAGCTGGCGAGCTCCGCCCTAGCCTCTGAGTCAGTTATTAACTACGGTTAAGATTAAGGGTCTGTCCTGGGTGCTCACCTCAGGCTGAGCAAGTCTAGTACCCACCAGACCAGAAAACGCACTGAAAAGGACCCAAGCTGCTGTCATACAAAGAGGTGCACCTGCACGTTCCTCCTCACCTTGGAGAAGGTGACGTCCCAGGGAGCCATGTTTTAACTGTGAAACCGCAGAATTGCAAGACTGAAAGAAACTTGTTTACTTTTCAAAGAAGTGAAGCCATTGCCTGAGCTCCTGCAGCTACACAGTGAAGCCAGGTGTTTGGAGGGCAAGCTCTGGGGTCAGACTGCCAAACTCCAGCTCCATTTCTTTCTAGCCGCATGGCCTTCAGCAAAGTACTTGACCTCTTGGGTCTCGGTTTCCTCATCATTCGGTGATAATGTGATTGAAGAATTAAATGAGATAAGCCCTAGAAAGCTCTCAGAACAGTGCCTGGCACATGACACGTACTCAATAATGGTTAATTCTCACCAACACCATATCACATAACCTCCCAGTTAAGATTCCTAGGGAAGTGGAGCGTGTGGAACCAAGAACCGGTTTGCTCCCAATGGCAGAGTCTGAAATATTTCCCCGAGGTTATGGTTTCTGGGCAAGGATTCAAGGAAATAAACACACCGTTGCTGAGCCCCTCCCTCTGGCCTCTCTCCCTCTGCAGGTAGCACCATAGCAGACATCCTCAGACTCAACATTTCACTCTGTCACTGCTAGCCTGGCGCCTCAGGGCCGCCAGGGGTTCCCTCCCTCCTCACAGAGGGTGTCCGAATTCTGAAGGGTTGCTTGCATTCCCTGGAAGCTGTTATGTCAGGCTTTCCAAGTGGAAACCACCTCTTCATCCTCCCAAAGAAACCACCTCTTCATCCTCCCTGGTATAATCCATGCATTCATTGGTTTGCTCTGAATTGAGATAAGAAATGAATTCTCCACTAATTTGTAAACCTTCTCCCAAGTCACAGTGAATAACTTGGTATATGAAAATATATCTCTTTCTGCCATCCTAATCCAAGTTATAGTTGGGAACATCTACCATTAGAATTCTCCACTAATTTGTAAACCTTCTCCCAAGTCACAATGAATAACTTGGTATAAGAAAATATATCTCTGCCATCCTGATCCAAGTTATAAAAAGTGCATTGGGAACATCTACCATTACTCCTTGTGGGCTCATCTTGCCAAGTCCCCTCATGTTGAGGAAAGAGGAAGTGCAGGAAATTCACAGAGTTAGGAGGAGAGTTGAAAATCTAGACTTGCTGGGTTGGCAAACACATTGAGGGGGTGTGCCCTGCGAAGGTACGGAAGCTCCCTGCCACTCCCACTTCTCATCTCTTGCCCTATGGATCTCTTCCATATGGATGTTCTTGAGTTGTATCCCTTACAATGAACCTGAAATGTAAATGTTAAAAAAAAAAAGTGACGTGATGCAGAAAAGGACAGATGCCTAATCTCCAGCCATAGAAAAGGCCACTGGCAAGTGACAAGAAGAGAATCAACTCCCTTCTTCCAAAGGGGAAGGATCCACAAAGACACAGTGGCGAGAATTTTCAGAGCAAGGGAGTCTCAGTGAGTCAGTGTGTGGGCCCTTCATGCACAATGCCTGGGACTCCTGGAGCCCTTCGTCTCACTCAGCCACTAGTTTTCACAGCTGGAAGTGATGGGGACTTGTCTTCCCAGCACTGGAACCCTGGCCTGGGGGCCCTGGTGTTGGGCTGGGACCCCTGTATTTTCAGAGGGGACCTCCACAGTTGAGATATTCCTCCGATTTTTAAGTGCCACACGTGGGAGTGGGACCAGGCTGTTCCATGTCTCCACCCTTCCTACCAGTCTCAACGTGGCTCCCTCTATATATCCTTAGTTACAGGACTTCAGTTTAGCTACATTTCATGCATTCTGAATGATGGTTGCTCTGTAACTTAGTTGTAATTTTGATGTGGTTGTGGGAGGTTCTGAATACCATGTTTACTTACACCATCATCTTGACTGGAACTCTATGGAAAAAATTTTCAAATAAAAAATAAAACTTTCACAAACAACCCAGTTTAAAAACAACCCATTTATCCAAAGAAGATATACAAATGGCCAACAAGCACACGAAAGGATGCCCAACATCACTAATCATGAGAGAAGCAATGAAAATCAAAACTACAATGAGATACCACCTCACACCCATTTGGATGGCTACTATCAAAAACCAGGAAAATGCCCTAACCGGTTTGGCTCAGTGGACAGAGCATTGGCCTGTGGACTGAAAGGTCCCAAGTTCAATTCCGGCTAAGGGCATGTACCTTGGTTGCAGGCACATCCCCAGTAGGAGGTGTGCAGGAAGCAGCTGATCGATGTTTCTCTTTCATCGATGTTTCTAACTCTCTATCCCTCTCCCATCCTCTCTGTGAAAAATCAATAAAATATATTTTTTTTAAAAACGGGAAAATAAGTGCTGGCGAAGATGTGGGGAAACTGGATCCTTTGTGTATGATTGGTAGAAAGGATGCCGCTGCTGTGGAAAACAGTATGGTGGTTCCTCAAAAGATGAAATACAGAATGACCCTAAGATCCAGCAATTCCACTTCTGGGTAAACACCCAAAAGGACTGAAAGCAGGATCTAGAGGAGATATTTGTACTACGATCATAGCAGCATCATTCACAGTAGCCAAAAGGTGGAAGCAACCCAAGTAGCCATCAGTGGATGCACGGATAAACGAAATGTGGGCTCTCCACACAATGGAAGATTATTCAACCTTTAAAAGGAAGAAAATTCTGACATGGATGAACGTTGAGGACATTATACATGAAACGAAATAAGCCAGTCACAAAAAGGCAAATATTGTATGACTTCGTTTACTAGTATATGAGGTACCTAGAGTAGTCAAGGTCATAGAGACGGAAAGTAGAATGGTGTTTGCCAAGAGCTGGGGGGAGTGGGAAATGAGAAGCTATTGTTTAGTGGCTACAAAGTTTAAGTTTTACAAAATAAAAAGAGTTCGAGAAGGAGATTGGTTACACAACCATGTGAATGTACTTAACAGTACTGAACTGTACATTTAAAAAATGGTTAAGATGATATGCCTGGCCACTGTGGCTCAGTGGTTGAGCGTTGATCCACAAACTGGGAGATCACAGTTTGATTCCGGTCAGGGCACATGCCCTGTGTGCAGGCTTGATTCCCAGTGGGGGGTGTGCTAGAAGCAGCCAATCGGTGATTCTCTCTCATCATTGATGTCTCTGTCTCTCTCTTCCCACTCCCTTTCTCTCTGAAATCAATAAAAAGATATTTTTTTAAAATGGTTAAGATGATAAATTTTATGATATTTGTATTTGACCACAATTACAAACAAAAACAAAAATTTCCAAGGCCAAGCTAACTTCCCTGATGCCGACAGAGTTACAGAGTTTGGCAAAATAGAACTGCCCGAGTCTGCTGGAAAGAAACAAACCCCGGGAAGAATGTCATCTGTCTCCCAACGGTCTCGCTCACGTCGTGAGGAACAGATTGCAGATTCCCCCGTATTTCCCCCTCTCCCCACCCTCCCGTTGCTGGGCACCACAGAAACTCCATTCTTGTCCTCTGGGGAGGTCTGGCTACATAATTTGTGGGGCCTAGTGCAAAACAACAGCTATACATTATTAAGAATTTCAAAACAGTCCTGGCCAGTGTGGCTCAGTTGGATGGAACATTGGCAGTCAGCCCATAAATACAGGTTCAATTCCCGGTCAGGGGTATCACATACCTAAGTTGCGGGCTAGATCTGAGGTCCAGGCACATACTGGAGGCAACCAATCTCTCTCTTTCTCACTCTCTCTCTTCCTCTCTCTCTAAAAATCAATGCAAACATATCCTCAGGTGAGGATTAAAAAAAAAACAACACAAAGAATTTCACCTGGCTGGTGTGTCTCAGCGGTTGATTATTGACCCATGAACCAGGAGGTCATGGTTAGATTTCCAGTCAGGACACATGACCAGGTTTCAGGCTCAATTTCCAGTAGGGGGCTTGCAGGAAGCAGTGGATGGATGTTTCTCTTTCATCAGTGTTTCTCTCTCTCTCTCTCTCAATGTTTCCATCACTCTATCCTTCTCCCTCTCTCTCTAAAATTAAAAATTTTTTTAACATATTTAAAAAAATAATTTCAAGACAGTGAAAAAAGCATTAAAAAAGCCTGGGCTGTATGTGACTGCACAGGCTGTATGCCCATGAGGCCAGCCCTGATTGAACCCCACAGATAAGAACAGATGGCACAGCACAACACAGTAGTGCCCTGGAGTCAGCTCAAGCCAGCTAGTGAGAGCTAGTATTAGATTTTTCAAATTCTGCAATACAGTTGATATCCTATTAGTAACTGGAAATCAGATGGAAATGAGTGTCTCTATCTCTCTTTCTTGGAGACTAGGGGTGGAGAGCAGAGCTGGTGGTTAAACATTTACCAACATACCGATGAACCTGCTGGTAAGGCTTGACGGATTTGATTAATGTCTGAAGCAGAAAGTAGTTCTTTCCTCTTTTGCTCAGCTTCTGCAAAAAAATAGAAAATATTTGTTTTTTAACGATGTCTGGCTACGTTGCTTTTCAGAGTTTGCCTCATCAGCTGGTCAACAGATCCATTCAGCAAGGCTTCTGTTTTAATAATCTCTGTGCTGAGGAGACTGGAATTGGAAAATCAATGCTGATTGATACATTATTACTAATTTTGAAGACTGTGAATCCTCGAATTTTACCCACGTTAGACCTAAAATTCAGGCATATCAACTCCAATAAAGTAATGTTCGATTACAATTGGCCATTGTGACTACAGTGGGACTTGGTGACCAGATAAACAAAGAAGAGAACTACCAACCAACAGTGACTGCATAGATGCTCATTTTGAGGCCTTGCTCCAAGAAGAACTGAAGATTAAGCATCATCTCTTCAACTACCACTCTTCTCAGACCCATGCGGGCCTCTGCCTCATCTCACCAATGGGCCACTCTCTGAAGACACTTGATCTCTTAACCATGAAGAGCCTTGACAACAAGGTGAGCATGATACCAGTGATTGCCAAAGCAGCTGCTATTTCCAATGCTGAATTACAGGAGTTTAAGATGAAGCTCATGAGGTAAGTGGTCAGCAATGGTGTCAGGTATACCAATTGCCAACAGGTGGTGAAACTATTGCTAAAATCAAGGCTTCAATGAGTGACATTTTCCATTCGCTTTTGAAGGAAGTGTGAACATTGAGGAGTAAGAAGGGCTCTTGGTGGCTCACTGGGCTCAGATGTTAAAAAAGCAGAGCCTCCCAGCCGTTTCTGCACAGGGGCCTCTTAAGCAAGCTGCACTTTTCGGAGAAGTTTCTGCATCGCCTGCCGACATTATGTTTCTGCCATCTGGACAAGCCCTTACAAAGGTTTCCTGGAATCCTATTTCAACCAATAGGAAAATTGAGGGACTATATTTTAAAATGTATTATGAACCTGAAGGTCTAACCTTTCAATTATATAGGACTTTTAAATTTTTGACATGATTATCTAATTTATAACATGATCCTAAGTTTTTGTATCAAATTTTATATAACACTAGAGGCCCGATGCACAAAATTCGTGCAAGAATAGGCCTTCCTTCCCCTGTCTGCCGGCACCGGCTTCCCTCTGGCACTCAGGACCCAGATTTCCCTCCAGCTGCCAGCAGGCACCTGGGACCCAGGCTTCCCTCACAGCCCTGGCTTCGTCCGGAAAGTTGTGTGGAAGGACGTCCGGTCTAATTAGCATATTACGCTTTTATTATTATAGATGATGGCCTTCCATGGTTCAGTATCCTTATTGTGGTTCATGTATTATTGTGATGAGACAAAATATGTTTAAAAGTAAAAACATCCAAGTATATAAACCTTATAAACTTTTTTGTAGTGATAAGTGCCTTTGAACTTAGGTGTTATCACAGTATTTTCACTAGGATGTATTACATATTTGCTGCTTAAAACTCTGTATTCCAGACAAAAAAATAATAAGATTGAATCATCTTATTAAAAGTATTTCTTTCCCTGGCCAGTGTGGCTCAGTTGGTTGGAACATACACCAAAAGGCAGAGGGTTCGATTCCCGGTCAGGGCACATAACCAGGTTGCAGGTTTGATCCCTGGTTGGGGTGAGTGAGCGATGTTTCTCTCTCGCATGGATATTTCCCTCTCTCTCTCCCTCCCTCCCTTCCCATCCCTCCCTCCCTCTCTCTAATTTCAGTTTATAAAATATTTCTAAGAAAATAACTATGAACATTTGAATATTAAAGATATGAAATTTTGGGTAATTCACATCTCAAGGGATATTTTAATTCAGTGCCTTAGTAGTATTCTCAGAACAATGAACTTTTTCTTAACAGTCATAGGTATATAATTTTTTATTTTTTGTACTTGAATATTCTAAACAAGGCTGACATTTACTCTAGACAGAGTAAAAAAAGTTATTTCTCCCTCTCCTTAAGGTAATGATTCACTTTCCTGATCTAAGGAAATGTCACTACCTAGGAGGCAGCAAACAGAATCACAGATCGGAAAACAACAATCTGACCAGCAGCAGTTCAAGGTAACCAATCAGCAAAATAAATTATTTTACAGAAACCTATAGATTTGTAATGCCATTTGCTTAAAGAGACCTACATATATACTCAGGAAAAAAAAATTTGAACTTATAATAAATTATTTTTATTTACCATTATATTTTCAGTCCTTGTATTATTCTATTTCATTTCTTATTGTTTTTGTTTTTATTATTTTAATAATTTTGTTAGTTCTTAAAATTTGTTATATACTTTACTAGATTCCATTTCCAAACGCATGGTGCTTACTATGTCAGATAATTGCCAACTAGAGATCACAAAAGCATTGCCTCAAGCATCAGAGCCAGAACTCAGACTATAATAACAAAAAGAAAAAGAAGGAAAAAGAACAGGAAAGAAAAAAGAAAAGGAAGGAAAGAAAGAAGTAAGGAAGGGGAAAGAAGGGAGAGAGAAAAAAAGAAAATCCTTTTTCTTAGGTCAATATTTAGTCTTTAATACATTTTTTACTACACATTTTTAATGTTGACATTATTGCAGATGTCCCCCTTTCCCGCCCCTTTGCCCACCTCCACCCCTCCTCTGCCCCCTCCCTTGGCCTTCACCACACTATTGTCCATGTCCATGCATATATGTTCTTTAGCTAATCCCTTTGCTCATTATCCAGTCACTCCTAGCCCCCTCCCTCAGGCACCAGCCAGTCTATTCCATGTATCCATTTTGTTCATCAGTTTATTTTGTTCATTAGATTCCACGTATTAGTGAGATCTTGTGGTACTTGTCTTTCTCTGACTGGCTTAGGATCATACTCTCCTGGTCCATCCATGCTGTCAAAAACGGTAAGATTTCCTCCTTTTTTATAGCCTCGTAGTATTCCATTGTGTAAATGTACCACAGCTTTATAAAGTGGTAATTAAATAAATATAATATGTACATAAAATATATTTCTATGGAACCATTAATAAGAGTGAGCTATGGGAAAATGTCAGATATATTAGGTAAGAATAAAGTAAATTATGGAATATGAATAGCATGATCTTACTTAAATATATATTAATCTTCACACACACACACACACACAATTGTCTCTATACAGAAGAAAGGCTACATGAGAAATCTAATGAAAAAAAATGAATTGACCAACAAAATAGGACCCAAAGCATAGAGGCATAGAACAGACTGACATACCTCAATGTGGGGTCGGGGGACAAGAAGAGATAAACCAAAGAACTTATATACTTATATGCATAAGCCTATGGACATGGGCAATAGGGTAGTGAAGACCTAGGGGGAAGGGAGCCTATGGACACGGGCAATAGGGTAGTGAAGACCTAGGGGGAAGGGGGGGGGGCTAGGATATCTGTAATGCTATCAACAATAAAAAAAATATATTTTAAAAATTTAAATCAAATTTAAAAAGAAGAAAGGCTACAAAAATATACTCCAAAGAATGGTTATCTCTCGGGTATGGGCTGTCAGTGGAGGAAGGAGAAGAGAGAGACTTTTACCTTCTATACTCTGTATTGTTGTCATTATTTAATTTTAATTGAATTTTATTATAATTTACACATATTTTAATAATAACTTTAAAATTCTAAGTCACACCAAGGCTCAAGAAAACTGAGGAAGATATCCTGGTGGTTCTTAAGCAGAGCTTCTGTCCTAATCAGATACAAATGGACTTTGTCTTTGGTTCATACTCACTCACCGAGAATTCTAAAATCCACACACCTGCTATCTTTTTGGTCCTTTAGTCCTTCATCCTAAATGGCAGAATTAAGCCCAAACTCTTAGGACTGTAGAAAGTCCCTATTAAAATGTTAATTGATACCTATAATACGATAATAAATATATATTTGGTCTCTGCTCCCCAAATCCTTAGAATCACTGATGTGTCTTTTTCTTTTAATTTTGGTTTATTGCTTAAAGTCGCTGATGTGTCTTTTATATGCCTAGTAGGAGATGACTGGTGATGGGGGCTCCTGGGTCGCCCCAGGATGGGGCTGGTTGCAGGAGAACCTACCACGGGATTGGAGGAACTTACCCTCAGACCACTAGGAGGAAGAGAGGGGTCAGAGGCCGTTAACCGTATGGTCCATGATTTAATCACTCATGACTAGCTGAAGGGAGAGCACTTCCAGGTTGGTGACCACATGGAGGTGTGGGGAGGGTGAGCTGCCCCGAGAGCCTGGGAGCACCATGGTCCGTCCCCCTGCCTCACCCTATGCATCTCTTCCTCTTGGCTGTTTCTTTTCCTAATAATCCAGTCATCTAGCAAGGACTCAGGTTTCCAGAGTCCTGGAGCCATTCTAGCCAATTATTGAACCTGAGGAGGGGATCATGAGACCCACCGGCTTGTACCCAAATCGGACAGATGCTGTGCGTACTCTGGGGACCCACTACTTCTAATTGGCATCTGAAGTGGGGGGGGGCAGTCTTGGGGGCCTGAGACCTTCACTAATGGCGTTAGGGTCTGTGCTAACTCTGGTTCGTGTCAAAAGTGAGTCAAATGTAAGACACACAGTTGGTGTCCACAGAGAATTGTTGGGTCTGAAAAACCCCACACATCTGGGGTCAGAGGTGTTCCGGGGGTGCTGGTGGGCTAGTAGAAGAAAACACGAGTTTTTCTTTCAACACCCAAGGAGACCACACAGCAGGTAGGTTGTGGATAAGAAAAGTCAAAATTAGAATTCTTCTGATCTAAAGCTCAGCCCTCAAGACTCATGGAGGCACTTACTACATGAAAACTAGAGTTCTGCCCACCTGCCCTGTGTTTACCTCGTGTCGGGTACTTGACAAGAAAATGGCAATGTGATCGGAAAACAAAACCTCAGAGTTCAGACGAGGATTCCAAATATACTTTCGACATCAACTTCCTGCTTTTTATTTCTCACTTGATACCCTGCTGGTTAGAAGACCTGCATTTTTTTCTTCATAACTTTTACTTAAATTATACATTCATTCATTGCTGTAGTTGTGGTTTGAGAGTTTATCATTTTAACAACAATATATTTTGTTCCAAAGTTCATCTTGTATTTAGAGAATTCTTAGAGAGGGGTTTCCTTTTGGCTAGTTTCATTTTCAACCACAGAAATTTGCACACCAGATTGACTCACTGAAGTAAATATGGGTGTGGCATAAAGGCTTCCTCAGGAGTTTTTATCTGTAGCTTTTGTTTAACAGTGGAGAAATAGACCCAGAGAAACACAACTTTTCACAAGTTGATACACGGTGAGGCAGCCAGGTTTGATTTCTGCCCTGTGCTATTGCCTCTATACCAAAGCAATCCTACCTTTACAAAACAGAAAGGTAGAATAATAAATTTCTTCTCTGATAGTAATTTCTGAGAGTACCATAGGAAAGTTTTCATGACTCTTCTCTCTGACAAACGTATTGAATGCTTTATTCTGTGCCAGAAAAGTACTTCATAGGAATTAGAAAATGCATAGCTTCAAGTCCTAACCGGTTTGGCTCAGTGAATAGAGTGTCAGCCCTCGGACTGAAGGGTCCCGGGTTTGATTCCCCATCAAGGGCAAGTACCTGGGTTACAGGCTCGATCCCCAGCCCTGGTAGGGGCATATGCGGGAGGCAACCAATCAAAGTGTCTCTCTCACATCAATGTTTCTCTCTATCTCTGTCTCTCCCCCTCCCTTCACTCTCTCTAAAAATCAATGGGAAAATATCCTCGGATGAGGATTAACAATAAATTAATTAAAATACAATAAAACTCATATCTTCAAGAAAAACCATGAGGCAAGTACTATCATTACCTCATTTTATAGATAGGGAAAGTGAGGTGTAAAAATGCTAAGGCAGGGGCCACAGCACCACTAATAGATGGTGTCCTGGCAATCTGACTCCATAGCATACTCCCTGTGCTATCCTGCCTCCTTTTTTGTTATTTCATTCTAACTGATTTCCTGTACTCTCACTCCCACATAAGAATAAGAAGAAGATATTTATCTAAAACTACTTTCCTCCCACTAGAATACAAGTTCCCAAGAGGAGCTTCTAAAACTGTGTCTAGTACAAAGTCTGCACTCAATCAATGAGTTGAATAAACGAGCTCAGGAGAGTTCTGGCTTTTCCAGAGAATATTATCAGACTGATAACATCACACGTGACCAGTTAATTTACGAATTCCCATGGTCTGATGCAAGCAAGTAAGCATGAGTCAGTTACCTTTCTTCTCTCTTTTATATTTTTCTATCTTTCTCATAAGATGAGGCGCAACAGTCTTGCAGAGATTCTCCAGTAAGGTCAGATCATCTGCATCTATTTTAGCTTGTTTCTCCAGATGTTCCAGGAAACTTAGAGAGGTCTGCAAGAGAATCAATGGCGTCACATTTACTTGCCTACTGATTATCCGTTCATTCATTAAACACTGCCTACGTGGCCACGAGGCACCAGGTTTTGCATGGATGAATAAGGTAGGTTGTTTATCCCAGAGGAGTTCAATAGTGTGGGGGAAGAGGTATGACCAAGTCAATTTCTATATCATCTGTATTCATATCAAAAGCCAGTATACTAGTACATATGGTGTCTCCCCCAAAATGTATATACATCGTGTCTGTAATTTCAATTGCATTTTGAAAATGAAATGTATCTTAATAAACACTGCCTTTATAACTATTCAAAGTGTATATACATTTTCTGAGACACCCTGAATACTACATGCCATTCAGTGCCTGCCATATATTAACCTCAAAAACAACTCAGTGAGGTAGGTACTACTACAATATCCATTTTAAAAATGAAACAGCTGAAGCACAGAGTCGACAACTTGTCCAAGGTCACAGAGCCAGTAAGTGGCAGTGAAAGTCTCCTTCATTAACCATTGAGCTGTACTACCTTTAACTCGGCAGCAAAATAGAGGCACCAAGGAAATGAGCATAAAATGTTTTGAAAGAATGTTATATTTGGTATTTTAAAAGAAAAATATCATAAGTACTCCTGGAAAAAGCTGCAAATTGGCTGGTATTATTTTAACATTGAATTACATATGGGATAGAAGGCACCAAATCTTTTCAATCATTAGGGCTTCTCAATGTATTAAGCTGGTTCTGAAAGAAAATATATATGAACAAAATTATACTAGAGCCCCCAGAAAAGAGAAAATATTCAGAAAGTGAACACTATTAGCAGAGTGGGATCTGGGGAAGAG